CAGCAGGAACTAAAACCAGCTGGAAGGAAAGTCATACACTCTGACATTAAAAGGCTCTGGTTCTTTAATGTTAATAATTATTACCATTGCTGTATTTCATTCACATTCAGAGAATCCTCCTGGAGAGACCCTACCTTACACATGTACATCAGCCTCTTCACACACTGATCGTTATGGTTCATTCATGTGGTGTCAGACACATCGAAAAAACAAGTTTCAAAGTTGTAAAAAGCACATGAACGCCTGCTCAAGTCAGAACAACTTGGAAGCTCTGGAAAGGATCAGGTGCCCGACTTGCTGACATATTCCTTATCGCGTAGGGGGCAAAAGATGTTTTGTTAATGTTAAGATGCTTTTTTATTCATTCTGGTATTGCTTAACTTTTTGCTCAAATAGAACTTAACAGAGAGTAGTCATTGTTGTTACAAGAATGACTTCCCAACTCAGAAACTTGGACCATCAGAGGAGCACCTGAATGCATCATTACATCAGCAGGTGAAGGGCCTTAATGAGTGATTGGATGCACCTGTGGAGGAAACCACATGTAGAGAAACTGAATATGCATGTCTCACTTTGTACTGACGAAAGTCAGAGATTAAAATGTCTGCACAAATAATTATCTGTTCAGCCTGACTTTGATTTAATAAGAATATTCTTCATTCAGTGTTTGAAGGACATTTCTCCTCCTCACTGTTCCTCACCTTTTAGGAGGTTGCTGAAAGAAGCTGTGTGAATAACATTCATCTTTACAAGGATCTAGACTCAATCTTTAAGGAGACATTTTTGCAAATTAGAAATGACACACCCCCTAAATACAAGATGATGATTTTTCTGTGATACTAATGGATTTGGTCTTGTTTCGGTCTCAGATCACTCTGGTCTCAGGTATGTCTTGGTCTCTGGTCTCTGAGAAATGTGGATTAGCCAGTCTTCTGTTTGCACTTCACAAATAAGGACCCACACGTACAAGAAATGGTCTACAGCAAGCCACAGCCCATGGTTAACTGGTCTTGGTTTTGAGGGCTTTTCTGATCCTTCATGGCATCCTCAAAGTAGTCTGCTTTAAATTAAAACGCGAAAGAACAATATCAAGATTGTCATTACAAATTCTGCAAAACTTCTAAACCAGCAGTGTTAACCTGGCGGTGACGCAGAGTAAATGCAGCGTTTTTTAAAGGCAGTCTTGATGAAGTCACAGGATCTTAAATTAACTCTGAGGCGTCTTCTCACATTCCTCCCCCCAACCCCCGACCAAGGTCTTAGAGGATAAAGTTAGCTGTGGAGGAAACCTAAGAGACCCCCTGTGCCAGCTGTGCCGGAGTCAGAGCACCATACAAGGAGAGTGATGGCATCAGTGTGTTTGTTTGTGTGTGTGTGGGGGGGAAATTTCTGAAAGCAGCGAGAAAGTCGAATCATTAAAGAAGTATACAGGAAGTATTTGGGGGGGGGGTTTAATCAACTTCCCTCACTCCCAACAGTGACGTTACAAAATGAATTATGTCCTTCTGTGTCACCATGTTGACAGGTTTTCTCATCACACAACACTAACGTCCTCTCTGACCAAACAACAGCTCCACTGGCTACCATAGACTGCAGGAGGGTCCACAGAGAGAGACTTTATGAAGCTGTCCTTCACTATCTGTTTGTTTAATGGCTTTCAAATTATCCATGTTTGGGCGAATCAGACGCTAAAACCACAGACTGTATAGAACATGGACGTAGTCTCAGGGCGCACTCACACTAGTAAAAGTTGCCCTGTACCTTGCTGAAGCATCAGCGCTCACGAGTCAAACAAACTGGACTTTGAGGATGAAACGTGCTTAGGGACAGTACAGATTGCCTAGTGTGAGTGCGCCCTCACCAAATTGTTTTCTGAAGCCGGTTTTGAAGCTTTAACGATGGCAGTCACCATATTGGAAATGCCATCTTGAACTAAGGGCCTTTTTCAAACAGCTCCCTCCACAATCCCACTCATGGAGGTATGGAGTGAACTCGGCCTGACGTCACGCACACAGCTGAATGAATGAAGGTGGAGGGGATAAATTCAGCAGCTAGCTTTGGGACAAGCTCCCCTCTCTCTGACGGACACAGGAACTTTTTTTGTCACTCAAACAATAAGCTGTCCAGAATAAAAAACGTTAAGCAGACTCGTAAAAATGTCTCCATGACACGAGAAAAATATATTTCAGTGAGAATCCACTCAGAGAGCTCCTAACTTAATTTAATCCAAGCAAGGAGTACGAGCTTTGGAGGGATTTAGGAACATCTCAGAGAGCAACTCTGAGTGAGGAAGAAACTCACATCATCAACAAATAACACTTTGAGCTGCTGGAAATGAAAAACAAGTCAAGTGGTGCTTATACAGAAATCACACATTTCTAACAGACACAAGAAATCCAGAGAGAAGCTCTCACTATCTCTGATGGTGAGACAACGAGTCAGCACAGAGTGCTGCCACTCAGGGGAATATAAAAGCTTAACACACCTGGAACAAATCAGGACCTATCAGTGACTCACGCACCTGACACTGCGCTGAGACGATTACCTCCCCAAACTCACAGGCCCTTTTTCAAACCGGCCACTACACCCTCTCCCTACCCACTACCCCTCCGTTTGTGCGTCCCCGTGGAGGGTTCGCCATATTAAGTCCGTCCCAAACCAATTAGCGGGGAGTGGTAGTGGGTTATAAAACCCTCCACCAGGCAGTGTGCACCGATGCTGACTTTCGGATCACGTGCGACGCCTATTGTGTCCGGTCGTCATGGATGAAGCAACCTGTGAGTTCAAGTGCCTACAAACACTGCTCCAACTAAGATAGACATTTAATATCGTCATACAGACGTTAACAACTTCAAATGTGTTTTGTATTGAGGATCAAATATATGTTTATTTATTGTAAAGTGTTTCATATTTAAAGGGACTGTTGCAAAAAACAAAAGAATATTAAATCATGTTGCAGACAACTTTTCACTGTTAATATTTATTTCTTATTTTTCTACTTTTGATGTTTTTGTGAAATCGCAATTCAAAAATAAAAAATACACTTTTTGCTGCTCTGATGTTCAACGATATTATCCTTGTCTTTGCATTAATTTAGGACACCCTGTTCTATGAAATTACAATAAATTAACTTAAATTATAAATTACAATAAACAATGTTGGCTCAATCTAATAGTTTTGTTATAAGTCTACACTAATATAACTAAAGAAGAAGAATAATCTCGGCTACATAAATATTTTTACAGAATGCATTAGCTACAAAAAAAAAAGCTGTTCCCGCGAGATACCGCTGAGTAACCATGGTAACACACAGTTCCTGTTTCCGTGTGAGAGAGGGGAGTTTGTCCCAAAGCCTGCCGCTGTATTTCTACCCTACACCTTGATGAAGGGGACTTCATTCAGCTGCGAGTGTGACTTCTGACAGAGTGCACTCCTTCACAGAGGGGGAGTGTGTAGGGGTTGGTTTGAAAAAGGGCCACAGACTGACCAGGGCGATCACCCTCACATTTTATATCCCGAAGTCGACTAATCACTTATCAAGATGATGACAGTGAGTCGGCTAAAACGCTGTTTACCTGAGTTTTTTTTTCTTTGCACTCACTTATGTTTTACTCTTCTGTCCTCTTGTTTCTTTGACATATTCATTAAATCATCTATCTCTGATTCATCCCTTTTTATTTTCATTTTAGTTTTTATAACCTGTGATGTGATGTGTCGTCTTTAAAGTTGTATTTCTTTATAGCTTTAACTTCCTTTTGAGACCAGCTTACAATTCTTCAATTCATTCAGCAGAAGCTTTTATCCAAAGGGACGGACATCAGAGAGTAAGAACAACACAAGTAAGGATCTAGAGAGGGGGGAACAACGTCAGGAAGTGCAAACAAACAGTCTGCCAGTCACTTCCTGTGACCAGAGGCAGACATATAGCTGTTTGCACAGGAAGTGACCAGAGGCAGAGCACAACATGGACAGCTGCTCTTGAGAGTTCTAATCAGCATCAAAATCTTTAATATCATCATCATCATCATCGTCATCATGAAGGTTGTAGGTAGTCATGGAAGAGCTTTAGCTTTTTCTTAAGTTGCAAAGGGACTCTGCAGATTGAATGGAGTTTGGAAGTTGGTTCCACCACCAGGGGGCGACAGAGGAGAAGAGTCTAGTTAGAGACTTAGGACCCTGTTGTGAAGATTGGATCAGACACCTTTGTAAGGAGGAGAAATTTTGTAAGCAAGCAAAGAGTTTTAAATTTGATGCGAGAAGTAACTGGGCGCCAGTGGAGGGAGACAGAGGCGCAGCTTGTCAACCGGGAAGGCAGGCTTACACTTAACAGGCTTACACTTGGGGCCCCAGGCCAGTTAAGGGGTCATCCCAAAAGTCTGACAAACTGACAAGCAGCAGTAGCTCAGAATGTGCAAATTTTGCAACGACAGTAGGAGACCTCCTTAATGGGCCCCATTTCACAGCACTCTGTCTTGTAACCCTGCAGCTGAATATCTCGTGTATTTTTCTTGTGAAAACCAAAGTTTGTCAATGAAAGTTGTGGAAGGAAAATGAAGAGGAAGTATCTGTCTGGGAGTTTTTTTAAAAAAAGGGAAGATCGTCGGGACACTGGCAGACATATTGGTGGTTTGAGGGGGGTTTCAGGGGTCAATTTTTGCCCAGGGCTCCAACAGACTATAGAATTGCCACTGGAGGGAGATAAACAGCAGGGTGGCATGTGCTGTTTTTTTGGGGAGGTTGAAGTCGTGCTGCTACATTTTGCATCATCAACAGGGGTTTGATAATGCATGTACAGTAGGACGAGCTGATTTTTGAATCTTTCTTGTTCCTGTGATTTGCATTTATATCATTTTTGCAGACTTCTCTCTGTTGCTGTCTTGACGTCCTGCCTTTGCTTCCTCCATCAAAGCACTTTGTAAACAATGAATAATGTGTGACAGTATGGCTGCAACTTTATGAACATTCATGAGAAAAATAAAGACACAGAAGACACCTCTGGACTCGTTTTCTTCCACGTAGACTTTATTGTTTCTGTTCAACATGATGATTCAGTTTGGATGTGAATGTTTTCCTCCCTGTGTGGAGTTTTAAGACTTGTTGTTGTGCGTCCTGTGTGTGAACCTGCAGAAACTCTCCACACTCCCCCCCCCCTCCTCCAAAACAAAACAACATAGAACACTAAAAAGAAGAAGAAAGGAAATCCTCAAACAGAGCGGGTCCTCTCGGACACGCCCCTCAGACCGTCCCGCTTCAAACTGACACATAATAAGACACGTAGTGGAGTTCATACAAACAGAAAGGCAAACGGCAGCGACGCGTTTAGGAGGTCTCGAACATCTTCTTCCTGTCAGCTTTATCCTCGATGTTCTTACGCCAGTCCCCGACCGCTTCTGTAGGCTGCAGGCGAGACACACAAACACAAAGTTAGACATATGAACGTGAGCGAGAGAGAGAGTGCATTTTAGAGTTGTAACGGGACGTGTCTTGTTGTAGCGGCCGCCGTGACAGACACGACATGTTTATCGTTGCCATGGAAACACCAGATGTTACGTCAAAGACTGCCTCATAAGGAGGCGTGAGCTGCTCCTGAAGGCTGCCGTACTGTTGCTGTATGTGCTGCTGTGATAAAAACATCATGTAAATTATACTCTGATACATTAGCTCGTCTGTAAACATATTCACTTCCTCAGGTCAGTTTCACATGGTTGTCATGACTACAGTCAACTCGGAGTTTGTTTTCATCAGAGGTGGGAGTAGCACTCCCATGATTGCCCGCTAGCCTCAACGTCATCTTTTTGTTATTGTTTTGATTGAGAGCCCCCTGGTGGTTGAATTTACATACTGCGCCTTTAACATAAGCCACATTCATCTGACAAGTCCAGGTAAATGTCTAATCTAGAGTTATTATACGTGAAAATAAAGCTGGAAATGCTTGTAACGAGTAAAAATAGCTACCTTAATTTATCCCATTTCAAGACCCTTAGCGGATGCATAATGCTTTCTGCACTGGAAGCTGTTAAGCGTGCAATTCAGGCCTTAATCATGGTGGTTATATCTTCAGATTGAGTTTCTCTGATCTTGTCAGGTTGAATGTGGCTTATTTTAATTTTAAGAGTAATTTATGAAAAACTTGAGAAAATACACTTGCAAAGATTTGAGGTTTTTGCAGTGTATCTTCTACTAAATCTGAACACTGTAAAACTCATGTAAGTTGTACGCAAATGTACAAATCCTGCAAAGTTGAGTGAATTCTAGAGGAAATATCTTGTCAAGCTGAATATAAAACGGAATACATTTCATCATTCAGTTATCAAGACAATGCATCTTGTATCTTCGATGTGAGAGTGTGACACATTTTCAGTCACATCTCGGACGAGTCGATTTAACTTCACGTCAGGAAACCGGAAACTGAGCTGAAAGATAGAGTAAGAATGTGTGGGACTCACCTCCTCTTTGACCTCCTTCTTGACCTGCTTCAGGTTGGCCCTCAGGTCCATGTTGACCGTGTGTTTGGAGCCCAGCAGAGCCTTCAGCATGGTGTCAGCAGACATGCGCACCTTCTTCAGGGCGGGTTTCTTCACACCGGCCAGGTCGACCACCTTGATCTTCAGGTCTTCAATCTGCCAGAAGAGAAAATTTTAGGTTTCCTGTCCTGATTTTTTTTTTTAAAAAAAGCTCATTTAGGTTCAGCTACTGTAAGAGGGCGTTTACCTCTTTATCGGCCTTCTGCACCTTGGCCTCGATGTCGTACCTCTCCTCATCAATCTGGTCAATGAGGGCTGCAAGCTTCTTGCAGGTCTCCTGAAGACAAACACACAGAGAGTCTGCTGTTTAATACACAACCAAGAATGCAGTTTGATGAGTCACACATCTACACTGATTCATCGAACCTGAAACCAAATCAATGAAAGACTGCAGTTACGTTTGTAACATGAATTCTGTCCAGGTAGCGTAACATATTTCTAATCTTTAAAGTGTGATTAAATGAAAATGTGATGAGCAACAGGGACGACTGTTATGGATGAGCTTGTTAGGGTCAAAAGTGCCCAAAAACCGAGCAGTCATATCTCGGGGGTGTCGTTTTGAAGAAGCCCGTGCTGGAGCTCCACAAAGCATACAATGGCGGTCGCTACTTTCTTAAACTCTTATTTCCCTCCAGGACTACAGGCGCCGGTCATGTGACTGAAATCAACCTGTCGCCGAGCAGACACCTGAACACCCTCCTAGACTTTTATTACTTTTTTTTGTCTCCATGGTTACCACAGACATGTTTCAGTTTGTCATGCAGGGAGTTAAACAAGAACCTGTTACAGCCTACATTTCCGAGAGTGCCTTTCAATAATCCCAAGAGACAGGGAACATGTTTTTTGCATTGAACTATGTGATTGAGTGTCATAAAATGGACTTCCTCACTGAGAGCGTTTTCACTCCTCTCTCACCATGAGGGCAGCCTGGTCTCCAGCGAGTTCCGCGGCGGGACAGTGTTCGGCCATATAGTTCTCCTTGGACACTACCAGGTCCTTGGTCTCCTGTACAAGCCAGGTCTGAGCGATCTGCAGGATCAGGCTCTGCGGGACAAACACATCGGGGGAAAACGTCATGTTGGAAAAACTTAAGTCATTTTCTAAAAGTGTTTAAAGATGCTAATTTGATATGTTAAGAAAACGACGGGCATCCTTCTATGAAAAAATACATAATAGTTGGTTTTAACAGAAGTCCCGCCTCTGACAGGGCAAATAGCCAATTACAGTTTAGGAATTTTTGGGGGTGGCCAATCAGATTTCTAAGGGGGTCCATGCCCCCCCTCTGGACACGCCCCTGCTTCCTACACGTCCTCGTTTATAACAGAGGGCGATTATCAGCTGCTCGATGGACTTTTAACAAATTAAATACATATAATAACTTAGTTTCAGGAGCAGGACTACAATCATCTGACGAGCCTCCTTACACTGAGCCATCCCACTCCAACCTGTTTGTCTCAGTTCTTAGACGACACTCCCTCCCTTCCTTTCCTTCCTCTCATCCATTCACCCTCCTTCCTCATCCCTTCATCTCCTTTGTCTAACTCTAGGAACAGTCTGGGTAGTGATCAGCTCGGGCAGATTTACGCCCCCCATCCTGAGTCTCCTTCCGCCCTGCAGTCAGTCTGTCCTCCCAGACCAGCCGACTGACAACATCCTCTTCCATCATAATCATTGCTAGTGAAAAAACAAGAGTATCCCACTTCTTCAGGCAGCCCTACACCACTGCTGGTACGGTGATTAATACCTTCTTTAGGAGCCAGTTATCCTCCTGGACGTGCTCTTATCATTTAAACGTTGCTCTTTTCATAGGATTGGTTCACATTAGGTTATATAAAGAGCAGCTTTTAGGATGAAACCAATGTTTAAAAAGCTTTTTATGTCCATGTAAACCCTCAGATTAATTAATAAATAAAGCGTGCTGCGTTTACCTTGAGGTGATGCCTGCGGCTGGAAGTCATTTTTTTTCTGTTTGGGAGGAAAGTTTTTAAAGGTCAAGATGTATTAATGAATCAAAGATCATCTAAAATACATTTCATATTTACTCATAAACTCTCTCATAAAATGTGATAAATATGAAAACAGAGAAAGTTGTGACAGCATAAAAGAAGATTCTGCTTTGACTTCAGGATGATTTTCTACATGAAGAGTTGAAATAATGTGTCCCTGAAATCATTCTTTCCATCTATTGAATAGAAATAAAAGCATAGATTGTGTGAATCAAAGACGATGTGTCTGCTGGGGTCTGATCCTGGTGGACTTCATGAGGCGGCTCAGACTTACTCAGACATCTTTGGGGTTTTTGCGGTTCACAACCTGAAAGGAGACACACATCAGGAGAGGAGAAACATTTCAGGGTATTTTTGACATCTGCTGAACACTGTACTTGTCCAGATCAGGATGTCAGTGGGTGCGAGGTTCTCTGAGATCAGCATGTTCTGGTGGAGATCAACCGGGGAAGGAAATATTTGCGGCGTAACGTGATCAGAGGCCACAGCTGAAGAGAAGCGACGTCGACTGAACTAATCTGGGACACTCGAGGATCGGGTGTCGCGTTCGGGATGGTTTACGACCCTATCGAGGGAATTCCAAAAATCCTCCAGAGGGAGCTCATCAAATAAAGTTATTGCCGGATCCGTCTGAATGACTTCAGCTGTGATGAAAAGATGCATCCACATCGGGAGGAACAATCAAATCATTACTTTTTTATTTTTTTACGTTTATCAAAAAGCAAAATCAAAATTAAGAAGCCTTATAATCTCAGTTTTATACGTTTATTTTTTACGGGTTAAGACACTTTAATTCAAAACATGGAAATATGAGGTCACTGAAAATGTAAAGAAGTTAATCCTGCAGAAACGAGAGCAAACAAATAGACAGATTAACCATAAAATGTGACGATAAAGCCGTCTAATGAGTCCTGATGAAGTCATAAAGACAGACAGTAAAAGCTTTAAAATTCAAACATGTTCCCTCTCAAACATTAAAGGGTTAAATAAGAGTCTCAGACATGTTATCTCAACATCATTCCCCTCACTTTAAACTCTCTGAGCCTCAAAAACTCTTCAGGAAACATAATCACACGTTTGGTATTTTCTCCTTTGACAGTTTGACAGACTTTAAAACTTGTCAGTGCTGGGCTGCGAGCGCCTTCAAGACTCTAAAACACCAAGCAGCGGCTCTCGTAAATTTTCGGTCTTGTCAGGCAAAGGTCAAGTGTCAGACACAAACATGCAGAAAGCGAGTTCAGGATGTCGGGATGGGTCAGAGGTGCAGAAACTAACGACCTCTGATCCTTTGTTTTTTTTTAAGAAGAGTCTGGATGGTTGTGCGTTTTTTTTATCCTCTGATTAAATCAAAGATGCTGCTCTCAGAGAGGCTGCGCTCAAAGATGGAATAAGAAAAAAAAGAAGTCCGATATCTCACCTATCGAGAGGAGGAAGAAGAAGACAAGACACACTCTGTGGAAGAAAAGGAGACACTGCCAAAGCCACAGACTGTGAAAAATGAAATACGGTATATATGGCGGGTTTTGATGTCTCAGCAAAATGCTCAGATCCTCTTTATGGAAATGGATTCCCCCGCAGACCAATGGGCCTGCGAGGTCCTGAAATACACCCGGGCCCTGCTCTGCGAACCGCCCTCCCTGAGGACAGCCTTGACTCCTCTGAAGACGTGTGTGTGTGTGTGTGTGTGTGTGTGTGTGTGTGTGTGTGTGTGTGTGTGTGTGTGTGTGTGTGTGTGTGTGTGTGTGTGTGTGTGTGTGTGTGTGTGTGTGTGTGTGTGTGTGTGTGCATCAAATATAAAAGCACCAAACTCAACGCTCTGAAACCTTCAGGGTTAAGATCTTTGACTACGTCTTTGCAGCAGCTCTCCTCTTTGTGAAATGTTGTTTAAAGTTGTTCAATGATGTAAATTCATCAACTTTAACCAAAATAGACTAAATATTTAACCTATAGAAACATTTTGATGAGTCACCGTCGTAACGACACATTGAACACGTTTAAAAAAGTTTGGATGAAGTCAAGTTTTTCTGAATGAGGAGGTTTTTTTGTGTGTCTGCAACTTGGAAAAACTAAAATCTTAACAACCGTATTCGTCTAACTCTGAGTCAGAAATATCTCATTACACCTTTTATGAGTCGTGTTTCTTTGACAAGTCCAGACAAACATTTTACATTTAAGATATTCAAATGAGAAATGAGGCCGACATGCCCTGTAATAAACAACAAGAAAAACATCTGCAGAAGGAACGAGACATTAACATGTTGAGTGAGAAGTCTGATAAGAAGGAAAAGAAGTAGAAACATGGTTCTTGATTAGTGTGATGAGATATTTTTAACAGGAAATGAGAGAAGCTCACGTGCTAATATTTAAGTTTTTACAAGTTTGCATCTATCATGACGTTAGAAATAAGAGCCATCTTGTTAGAGAATCTCCATTTAAATGTAAGTTTGTTTTCTTCGACGGCTTCACTTTGTTCCTTTGAGGAAAATAAAGCCGAAAGACAGAGGAAGAACATAAATCACACGTTTGTAGTTTACCTCTAAGTGAGCATAAAGAGAGGTGGGGAGAGACAATCAGGCTTCAGCGCGGTACAGGACAACTGGGCCGTGGGTGTGAGTGCACCCTGAGACTACGTCCATGTTTTATACAGTCTGTGTTTTTAGCTTCTGATTCGACCAAACATCAAGACACTGTGAAAACCATAAAACAAAAAAAACAAGAGAGCTTCATAACGTCCCTCTCTGTGGCCCCTCCTCTTTCTATATGTGGTCTAAGTTTGTTTCTGGAGCGTAAGCGCAGTCGTGATCAGCTGTACACACATCACAGGAGGACTACAAGATCATAGGAGGATGACAAGATCACAGGAGAACTACAAGATCACGCGGGAATGAAGAGAAAAACATGCTAAAAACATGGTGCTTTGTCATTCTGAGGATGATTTGTTGTTCACTCGGTGCCTGTTCTGATGTAATGTTGATAAAGTGATGGAAAATACAATCCGGTGTTTTATTTTGAAATTGACCTGTGCGTTTACTCATCTGACTTCCTGTCCGGGTCGTAATATTCTCTCGAGATTGACGCGTGCCTGCAGCCTGTAGCGTATTTGAAACGGACCAGAGCGTGCTGATGTAATTGATCACAGTTGAGACGTTTTTGTAAGACGTAAATATCCATAATTTCTTTCAGTATTTATGAAGTTATCTGAGATCTACAGAAGCCCTGAGAGGACATCAGTTCTCACATAATGAAGATTCAATAACGTTTTTTTTCCTCTTCAAATCTTGACTTATTTATGTCGGTTTCTTGAAACAACAGCGCTGCTTTTCCCTGTCAGAATGAGCTGATTTCAGTAGTTTCCTCAAGAAATTAACGAGTTATGACTTAAAGATAAAAAACCTGAGATAATGAGATACATAAGTTAGAGATCATGAGAAAAGAACCAGACATGACACATCATCACAAGAAAACATCCATCCATCATCTGTACCGCTCTGTCCAGTTCAGGGTCACAGGGAGCTGGAGCTGAGCCCAGCTGTCATTGGGTGAGAGGCAGGGTTACACCCTGGTCTGGTCACCAATCAATCACAGAGCTGACATATAGAGACAGACAACCAGCCACACTCACATTTACACCTATGGACAATTTAGAGTCACCAGTTAACACAACGAGCATGTCTTTGGACTGTGGGAGGAAGCCGGAGTACCTGGAGAGAACCCACACATGCACAGGGAGAACATGCAAACTCCACACAGAGAGGCTCCTGTCAGACGGGGATTCAAACCAGGAACCTCCTCGCTGTGAGGGGACAGTGCTAACAACCACCGTGCAGCCCCACAAGAGAGTAAAACCAAATGCATGGCTGCATGTCCCCTTCAGGCTGCCGTACTCCTCTCTCTCCGTATCTGACTCTGTGATGAACTCTCAAATATAAATGTACCAAACAAATAATTCGTTATTCCAAAACATTTATTTCTACTGAGTCCATGAAAAGCTGTACATGGTGAAGTGATGGCGTTTATCTTTAAGAGACGTTTGATTTGCGTACATGATGACCTTACGTTTGCTTCGGGTCTGTCTCCCACGGCGACGGTGGTATCACAAACCAGCCAAAAAATAAATAAAAGGCACAACAAAAAAAAAAGTGTCTAAACTGTCGTCCCTGTGAGTCCTGCTGGCACTCAGAGACCCTTTCAGTCACTCAGACCTCAGACCATGTCGTCTCCTCACCCCCCCACTCGCTGTCGTCCTCGCTGCTGCAGGAAGCGTTTAGGAAGTCTCAAACATCTTCTTCCTGTCGGCCTTATCCTCGATGTTCTTACGCCAGTCGCCTGCGTCTGCCACCTGCAGAGGGAAACAACAACAGAGACTCTTTACAAACTGAAGGGACAGAAACCGGTTTAAACACACAAATATCAAACAGCACGCGCTCATCCTAACCGTTGAGTACCGGGTGCTGGACAGAAATATACAAAGATAAAAGTCTGCACACCAGAGCTGCTCCAATTGGACCCTAGCGTCATGTGGTGACAAAAATGTGTTTTAAAGTATTTTATATCAAAATTACTCATTTGTACAAAGTTGATCTGTGTTTTCCTCTTTTCTTTAATTAAACAAAAATATATAAAATCAACCTGCAGGCTCTTCAAACCTTCTGTAGAGACATTAGCCTGCAGAAATGGCTTAGCCCCCGAAAGGCACTGTGAACGGGTCAACACAGAGAAAAATGCTCCGTTTCAAATGTGCTCTCCTTGTGATGTCACAGTGGGATTCTGGTTAAAAAAAAAAAAATCCTCCCCTCCCCTGGTATCTCCACCCATGGACTCCACCCCCAGCCTAGAACAAAACTTTTACGCAGGTCCTCCATTTTTATTCTCCCTACATAGGAGTGATGTCTACCGGGAAAACTTAGGGGGGGGCATTTGCATTTAAAGAGACACACACACCAAAACGGAGCATTCTGAGAGAGCTGGTTTATACAGGCTCACAAACCTCCTCTGGTGCTTGATTCATGTTATATTTTGACCAAAGCACAGCACAGATGTTTCATTACGACCACAGAGGACTGTTTGAAAAGGGGGAGAAGGGGGGTAATATGTCCTTTTTAACAAGTTCTTGTTGGGGAAAATGCCTGTGTCAGCTCCCTAATTTTCCCCTTCCTTTTTCTTATGGCGTCTTAACTCTGTGCAGGTTCTGGAGCGACTCTACTGATAGCGACATAACTGATGTAAAAGTTATGTTCACTGGGCCGTTGATGTTGGTAACATTACAAAAAGAAAGCATGATATAATTTTAAGAGGAGGGGTTTAATTTTCAATGTGTTTTCAAGAGACAAAAAATCAGAACTTCCTTATTTTATCCACTTTGTTTGAGTTTTTTCAGTCAAATATTCCAGCATGAAGCACTTTTAGACTACACTGAAATACATAAACTCTGTAATTTAAATACCCAAACAAACACACTGAGAGTCTTTGTTAGGACGCCAGACGTCATTTGAAGTCCATGAAGCGTCAGTGTTGAGGCTCTCAGGTGGTGTTTTGATCTTCTCTTCATACTACACCCACAGACTTTCTCCTTCGCTCTGCCCCTGTTATAATAACTTCGGCCACTAGGCGTCGCCAAATTAATATCTTTATGTCATCCTTACTACACAGACCTTCCTATCTTTGCTCAATACATGACTCAAAATGTCAAAAACCCAACCTACACCACAGTATTTATCTTAGTAAATTAATGTTTGAGATATATACGAGTCCCAGTGTTGTTGAAACTGATATTTCATCGTTTCTGGATCTTACACAATAATTTTGAACTTGATGCTCGTAGCACGGTTCATAAGAGTCACTCGGCATCTGATTACAGCATAGCAAAGAATTGACTTGATGAAATAAGCAAGGCCTTTCCTGAAACAGAAGTTGTCTATTTGGCTGCTTATGTCGCTCCAAAACTTGTATATGTGGTTCAGCATGAATGGAGCCCTCACCAATGTGCAGGTCACCCACGCCATGTGCACTAATTCCCCCCCCCCCCCCCACACCAGCACGGGTACTGGCTTTGAGCTGAGAGCCGATCAATATCATTAACATTTGGTGTGATTAGCTGTACGATGTCTCACCTCCTCTTTGACCTCCTTCTTGACCTGCTTCAGGTTGGCCCTCAGGTCCATGGTCACTTTGTGTTTTCCTCCCAGCAGAGCCTGCAGCATGGCGTCAGCGGACATACGCACTTTCTTCAGGGCGGGTTTCTTCACTCCCGCCAGCTCCACCACCTTCATCTTCAGGTCCTCGATCTGGAGGCAGAGAAACATTCAAAGTTTCATGTTTTTATTGGAGGTCTGAGGTCAGGGAGTCTGCAGCATATACAGACAAGTCCTGGTTTGATTTCTTTTTTCTTCATGCTGGTGCTTTGGATTCAACAGTACCTCATTTGTCATCAGAAAAAAAGACCCAAATTATTTAGTACATGTTTAAAACAGGAGATATCCAAACGTTATCCAAACTCATAAAATTGTGTTATCATGAGAACCCTTCAGACCTGACTCACCTGAGGACTTCACCTCAGGCCACTCAGTGACTCACCTCTTTGTCGGCCTTCTGCACTTTGGCCTCGATGTCGTACCTCACGTCGTCAATCTTGTCGAGGGAAGCGTGGATCTTCTTGCAGATTTCCTGTCCACATGCAAACAAACAAACAAATACACAAAACATGTTGTGTCAACTCAGCTCAGCGGTCATCACCTACTCTCAATGCTATCAAAAGATATGAGCAAAGCTTCAAATACAAGAAATTCTTTGCTACTGTCATTGAAGTGTCCGATTATCGTCTAAACTCTGTCCAAACTTTGACAAAAAAAATCTTGAACAACATTTCATTTGTCACTTTTTATCTGATGCCTCGACTCACATCTACTCACATCTACTCCAACTCTTAATATTAGATTACATGAAATCATGTAATCTAATATTAAGAGTTGGAGTAGATGTGAGTCGACAGAAGCTTCAGCATAGAGTCGTCCTTGTTGTCTCACCATGAGGGCCGCCTGGTCTCCGCTGACGTCTGGACTTGGGCAGGTCTCCGCCATGTAGGTCTCCTTGGCAGCCACAATGTCCTTCTTCTCCTGCTCGATCCAGCTGGCAGCAATCTGCAGCATCAAACTCTGCAGCGAAGTGCAAAGATATGAGCAGTTATTAACAATTATTCATCCTTAATACTAACAAAACCTCAAGGAAAAGGTTTCATTCTTACCTTCAGATGATGCCTGCGGCTAGACGTCATTTTCTTTCCGCTGTGAGAAGAGATTAAAAGTCATCAGGACTGATATAGGTATTCAGTTGCTTGGATGCTGTACTTTAGTTTCCATTGAAATGACAAGATTGACACCACTCTCATTTCCATAGCTACATATGAAGCTCCAGCTAGCCTAGCTTAACAAAGTGAAACAAGGTGGAATAGCTAGCCTTGAACTATCCAAACAGAAGAACTCTTTCTGCTAGCTCCCATTTCTCAACTTCTCACATTCCAACTTTGTATTTTGTTGAAGCAAGTCTCTCCGTTATATCTTGTATCCATTATATCTAATCTATTTTAGCATAAACACTGGAATTAAAGCAGAACAGCTAGCCTGGCACTGTACAAATACAACAAATCTGTCAAACTAAATTCCTAAAGCCCACAAATACACATTATATCTACTTGTAGCTACAGCAAGTGGCTGGTTAGCCTAGCTTAGCACAAAATCTGAAAACAGAAGGGAAGATAGCTTGTATTTGTACTATGCTGGCACATATGCTACCAATACTTCTTAACCTAACTTATTAACATATGTGTTACGTAAGCAACAGCTAGCTCATCCTGGCTTAGAATAACGCTAGCAAATATCTCGACCACAACTGCTCAACCAATAGCTTGCTAACAACTCATTAGCCTAGCTTAGCATAAAAATTGGAAACAAACCGAAAAATTGCATGTCTGATTTAAACTAAATCGACTTAAAAATGTGAAAGCTACAGACAGATGTTTTCTAGCCTAGCTTAGCATAAGGACTGAAAGGGTAAAATAGCAGCCAGGCTTTGTTCAAACCAAGTTAACATAGCCATCAACCAGTGCTACTAAAGCTCACTAACTAACAATGTTATATTTAATTAAATCCACAGCTAGCCCTTGGTTAGCCTAGCTTAGCATATAACATTGAAAAATGGGGGAACAGTTAACCTGGACCTGCCAGGATCTATAAATTGCACTTATTAAGCAGTTACATACTTTTAAAAACAATAATTTGCCACATTTCACAGGCTCAAGTGTTGAATACTTTTTGACCAGGACTTAACTTCCTGAACTCTCTGCTGGTTGCCTGGCAACTGCTAAAAGCCAGGAAGAATCTAGCATTCTATATTGGTGAAAAATAAAAAGTATGATATCATGTCAAGATGGTTTTTGTTAACTAAAGAGTTTTAAAGGTGCTGTCAGGCCTTTGTACCTGGCCAGGCGACCTGTTGAGCCCTGTTTCCAAACTGAAGCTAAGCTAAGCTTACTGGCTGCAAGTACATTTTTACTTTGCATACATGGGAGTGGTAGTGATCGTCTTAGTTTTTTAAGATAATTAAAAACAATCAAGTGTAAAAACTGTATCAAGTCTATAAAGAGAGAAGAGATTTCATTGCTTGCATGTATCGAGAAAAAAACAAACCAAATTAATTCGATGCAGTGCGGGGAGTTGTAATGCAAGTAGGAAAAAAAGACTAATTTGAAACTGCTAATAAATATATGAATACTTTGAAGTCCTTTGATTTGAGATGTGAAAACAAACTGACACCATTTGTTGCAGCCTGCTTTATCATGTTTCCTCCTCTGACACGTACAGCTGCTGTCACATGAGGCTGGAGGCTGACCTTCACGCTGAACTGGTGCCTCCACATGTATTCAGATCAGTTTAGACACATGTCAGACACACATGTAACTCAAGTAGTCCAAGACTTTTTAGGATTTACACAGTGGCTGTTTGAATATAAAACGTCCTTAAAGAATTAGAATTCTTAGAATGAGTTATGTAAAATGCCTTTTCTGAAGCAACGGCCAAAACGAGTTGTTTGTTTGAATATGTGGACTAAAAAGAAGACATAATGCTTTCTTATATGACGGGAAAATACTCAGTTACAGTTCAGAGATGTCGTAAAATGCCCCAAAATGTCCTTAAATGCTTAACTTTTCAAAGTTTTTAATTCTTTTGAGGGGGTACTTCTACTGTCATTTGAAGTTTAACTAGACAACGTTTGAGAAACAAAGTAGAAGAAGAAGCACGATGCGTCAGGTATGAAGAACATAGAAAAAAGAATGAAAGGAGGACAACGGAAAATAACAAGAAAAGGGAGAAGAAGGAGGAGAGAACTACAATCAATCTTAGATGAAGAAGACATGTCTTATTCACTGAGGTGAAAGTAGTAGAATAAAAATAAGTAATAGAAGGAGAAGAAGAAATAATAGAAATAAAGGAAAGAGAAGAAGTGATGATGAAGATGGACAAGAAGAGAAATGACCGGAAGCAGGGGCGTAATCAGAGAAGTAACTAGGGGTGGCATGGGCCCCCCTTGACATCTAATTGGCCACCCCAAAAATCCATATCTATGATTCGCTTTTTGCCTAATCAGACGTGAGATTTAAGTTAAATCAACTAGTCTGGCTGTTTTCAACAGGCTAATGTAAGTACTTTCAGTTGTGAATAAATACTTTGCTCTTGTGCATGCTGTCTCACTTTGGATGGACTTAATTTGCCATTAAATGTATTTTTGCAAAAGTTTTCTTAAAACTTTTCTTTTGTGTTATAGCCTCTAAAGAGTCGAGTTAAGAAGATCTATATGTTGCCAAATTGTATTGTATACTTACATATAGCTAGCGGGGATAGAAAAAGTACAAGAAATAAATGAATTTGCCCACAAACGTTATGCCAACCCTGCATAAGTCAGTGGTCCACCCCAGTCAAAAAAGTCTGGACACCGACTAGAAGAAATTATGAAGAATTAGACGGAGAAAAGAAAAGAAAGAAAAAGAAGTAGAAGAAAAGAATAATCGAGAAGAAGGAGACAAGAAAGAGACGAAGAAAGAAACAGATGAAATAAAACAGGAAGATGTAGAAGAAGAAGGAGACAAAGAAAAACAAGTAGAAGAAGAAGAAGGAAACAAACAAACAGAATAAGAAGAAGAAGAAGGAGATGATGTACTCACTCAGACATGTTGGCGGTTCTTGCGTTTCACACCCTGTTCAGAGACAGAAAACAGTCATCAGTTAAACATGAGCAGACAGCTCCCAGAAAGCTCTCTAACGGTCTACAGCTGAACTCTTCGGGTCCCGTTCCTTCCCTGGTTATCAATCAGCCACCTTTGACCTCCCGCAGGAAACACGATACGCCTCACTATCATGGAAAACCGGCTGCCAGCGACCACAAACAGGCTAATTTTGGACAGGCGGGGTCAGGTGCCGTGGAACAGTTGCCCCTCTGAAGACATTCTGCCTGGAATTTGACTTCTTCCAGCGAGCCAAAGATCTGAGCACCAAATGCCACTAGCAGTGGCTCCAAATGTGGCGCGAAGCACGCCGTGAGAGCCGTTAACACTAATTCCAACATCTTGCCGGCATGCAAACGGCAGGCTCACACAACGAGGCGTGTCCAGGAACGGCTTAGTGATGCAATTTAAAGAATTAGAAACTATTAAACTTTATAAATGAGGTAAACACAGACGCTCTCAGGTCCAAAAAAAGGCTTGACAAAATGCTTCTTTTAATGTGTGCCCTGCTCGGATTTAGATTCAGCTTTAAATAATTAGCGTGAACACAAAAGTTAAATCACAACTCATCTATTCAACTCAGTGTTATCATCTTTTTTCCATCTCCATGAACATCTCCAATCACAACAAAGCATCAAACTACAACCAAAAACACAACAACTGACACTGAACAATTTACTGAATTCTTATTTTATAGTGTTTAAAATAAGATGTACATTTAAAAAAGCACTTTAGCATCCTGCTATAGAAATCATTTTTGGTATTTTCCCTCCACAAATTCTTACATTTTCCCTGAGTTAACTCATAATAGTTACCTCCTAATTGTTTGATTTTTAAATCCATGCCCATGAAGGTACAAAAGAAAATGTCAACAGGCATGAAAAACAATAAATATTTAAAGATGGTTAAGTGTCTAATAATGGATAATGACTAAAATGACATTAACCGACTCTATAAGAAGCATTGAGGTCAAAGAGATTCAATTTTCTTGAATATTTTCGCACAGAGATTAACTAGATTTTACATTCCTGAATAATTTTCCCAGAATTCAGAAATTGCAAACAAAATGCTGCCAAATCTCTTTGCTATTTTAACACATTTAAACTTCGGTGCAGGTTTTAAAAATTAACCTTGAAATGTCTCCGAACAGCAAGGGAGGACGGACAATTTATGATTTTTCATTTAAAATCCAAGACATATCAAAGCGTGCTGCAGCAAAATAAAACCTCAACATGAAGGAGGATGATGGTTAAAGCTTAATTTCCTGCAGTTGTCTCACGGTTCACTTAAAGGTCCTTCTGTGCCCTTCAGAAAGTCCCATAAGCTCCTTCTCTGCGCTCCTACGTGGGAGGTCACACCTGCAGCAGCACCTCCACAAACCACATAAAAGCACCTGCGTGGAGAAGATAAACCAGAGTCCCACCTGCAGACCAGACCTCAGCGGGATCTCTGTTTTGTTTCCAAGCAGAGAGACTCTCACCTACTGACGGGAACAACGACCAAGAAGACGGGAGAAGAAGAAGAAGAAGGGGGGGAGGCTCTACCAAGTCCTAAACAGTAAAGATTAAACAGGGTATATAGGGTGTGAAGTGCTCGCTCAGCAGAAAAGTCAGCCCTCTTTATGGTAACACGCACACTTCAGACCAATGGGCCAGCGGGCTCCAGAAATACCGCAGCAAGTCTCCAAGGAACCTCGTAAATTTGTGCCGTAGGAAGTCACCTCACTGGACAGGACACGCTATCAAGTTCCCCCCCCCCCCACACACACACACACACACACACACACAGGGAAAGGATGGAGCGATTGTTACACAACATGCAGGAGGGCGGGGGGTGGGGGTGGGGGGGTGATCATGATTGACACTCACAGATTAAGTTTCCTTTATGCCCACACCTCAGGGATTAGAACAGCGTGTGAAGCTCTAAATGTGTGTCTCTAAATACAGCTCTCAATAAAAGTAGTCAGACGAGACGTCCCGAAACACGTTTCAACTTCTCAAAATAATCAGAATCTTAATTAATGAAATTATTATTATTACAACAACTGTGGAAGCTGCTACATGTGTGAAGAGCTGGAGTCAAAGAATCATTGCCGTACATAAAGTGTACAGAATAATATCGTATCTAAACGTACGTTAATGTAACATGTTTTATTATAATGTACTTTGATGTAACGTATTTTATCGTAACATATATTCTATCGTGACATATTTTATCTTAATGTACTTTAATGTAACATATTTTATCGTAATGTACTTTAAAGAGGTCATATTATGCCCTTTTTGGGGTTCATATATTTAATCTATGTACCTACTAAAGTATGTTTACAATAGCTAAAGTTTGAAAAAAGTGTCTGTTTTCATGTACTGCCGCTCCATGCTTTGGCTTGCTTCTGACTCTCTCTCTAAGGCTCTGAATTGCCCACGTTCAGAGTCCCCATGTGTGCCAAGTCTGATCTGATTGGTTGGCCTGTCGGCTCTGCCGTAATTGGTCAGTCGCTCATCACGGTTCTCGGAAATGTCACGCCCCTTTTACCATATTGGGAATGCAGCCACTTTGGCTCCGATAGAGGCGAAAACATTAGCAGACGTCACAATGGCAATTTTTTTTCAAGGGGGGCTAGAACTGAACATTACATGCAGTTAATGCTGCAGCTAACAGGAGGACGTAGGAGAAGCTGCGTTTCCACGGAATTTTTGCACATAGATGTGCCTAAACATGCACAGGATACATGGAAAACACACTTAAGAGCATATAAAAGCAGAAAAAGCATAATATGACCCCTTTAATGGAATGTATTTTATTGTAATGTATCATAAAGTATTGTAACATACTGTAACTTATTTAAGCGTACTATATCATATATTGTAACATACTTTAATGTAACGTGTTTTATCGTAACGTACTTTAATGTAACGTGTTTTATCGTAACATACTTTTATGTAATGTATTTTATTGTAATGTATCGTAAAGTATTGTAACATACTGTAACATATTTTAGCATACTATATCGTATATCGTAACATACTTTTATATAACATATTTTTAACATAACAAATTTTATCGTACTTTAAAGATAAATGTTTTTTCGTACTGTGTCGTATCGTAAAATATCTAAACATACTTTAATGTAACGTATATCGTTCTGAATCAGATTGTAAACATACCATAATATGAAGTATTTTATTGTACTGTATCGTTTCTAAATGTACTTTAATGTAAGATGCTGTAGGAGCTGGGGCTCGAACCCTCGACTTCCAGTTGAGAGATGACTGACTGACTCTACCACTGAGCCACGCAATACATTCACTATCCGGTATTTTTTAAATTGACAGTAGTGATAAAAGGTTCCGTTGCTGTAACATGAACAACATTACAAAAAACTTCATGCAGTAATAAATAAGAGTATAAAACCAGTTACTCACCATCTGTTGAACGTCATGTTGCTGCTGCAGCTTCTTTGAGATAGAGAAGTAAAAAGTGTGACATGATGGAAGGAAGCCACATCTCATGACTGAGAAACTACAGGGAGATTCAGGGCGGAGGGAAACTCTCTGCTGACATCTGGTGGTTCGATGTGAGCACAACACTCAGACCTAAAGCCTGGGCCGTATTACTGTAAACGTGTTTGTGGGGTGTAAATGATTGGTCTGATTGGTAAAGGATTTATTTGAAAGTGCTCCAGTTTCAGCCAGCAGATGAGAATCAGGCTGTCATGGCTGTGATGTAATTTTCAGGACAAATAGGCTCCAAGTCCATCCACTAACATTTCTTAGATTTGACACTGATCATCTCAGGTTGTTATTCTAAATCTCTAACAACAAAACAACAAAGATCCCTGCAGAGAAAGTCCCTTTTGTTAAAGTGGAAGATATTTTTTTTTAAAGTAAAACCTCCTTTTAAAGCCACCAGAGTCCAGTAAATAAAACTGTATTTCTACTTTGCAGCACATGAGACTCTGGTCTGATGCTGCAAAGTAAAAATGCTGTGTTTGTTTACCAAGGAAGCCTGGTGTCTTTGAAGACATAAATGGAAATGCTGGTTAAAAAAACAAACATCCAAGTCATTGTTTTAAGGTCCTTCTCTGCAGGGATCTTTTCTGCAATGTTGTCTAAAATCTGAGCCTGTCGGTGGTTAAAAACAAGAACTTTTAGTGGACGACAATGTGTCTGCACCGTGTCCATGCACGTTTGACCCCCAGAGTCCACTTCGTTTGACTTGTGTGAGTGCTCGGCACACTTCCTTGGCCCTGGCACGGATGGGAGAGGTTGGCTTCGACACTGTACAGTAAATCATGCACGAGCACAGCCAAGGGAACGCAACATGGACATGACGTATAATCTACCCCCACATTATCAAGGAATCCCCTAGTGTTCTGGCTGTATCTGACTAAGATGACTCAAAATAAGCCTAAAAGCAGTGAGGGTGAAATCTCAGATACCTACTATAAGTGACTTCTTAACCTCCAAACACATCTTGGACAAATTTGGAGCGACAGCGTTGCCTTATTCCAAAAACATAATTTAATGGCACGAGTTTTTTTTCCATGAAAAATGTCAGATGTAACAGAGGAAAGCAAGGCAGCAGCCCAGAGGGAGAGAAAGTCTTTAGGAGGTCTCGAACATCTTCTTCCTGTCAGCTTTGTCCTCGATGTTTTTACGCCAGTCGCCAACGCCTTCGGCAGCCTGAAGGACGAGACGGATCCAACACAGTGATGCAGCTGATGCGTCCAAGGCTTTAAAAAATTATGTTTATGTGTATGTATCGTCGACTCACCTCCTCTTTGACCTCCTTCTTGACCTGTTTCAGGTTGGCCCTCAGGTCCATGGTCACCTTGTGTTTTCCTCCCAGCAGAGCCTGCAGCATGGCGTCAGCTGACATGCGCACCTTCTTCAGGGCGGGTTTCTTCACTCCGCCCAGCTCCTTCACCTTCAGCTTCAGCTCCTCGATCTAAAAAACAGACAAACACTTTTTAATGATTACTCTGATTAATCTCTTCCTGTTTTGTCCCTTCAAGCTCTCCGTAGATAGTGGTCCTCAGTGTCTCCCTGTAGTCACAGTGATGTAAAAGAAGGACACTGATGCATCTTTGAAATGTCTCATTTCACTTTAACGAACTCTCAGACAGCTCATCTGACGAGTCCAAAGTAATATCCACCTTAGGACATCACACATTGACCTTTGTTACCGTTCCTTTGAGCTGTTTGACCTCACTTTGGGATCTCTAACCACTTCCTGTTTCTGTACTAAAGTTCATGTCCTAACCTTCCATCTACAGGAAGAGCCTTACTTTATTTAAAAATAAAAGCACGGTTGAATTCAAACCGCAAGTAAAGTACTCTCGGTTTAAGACAGTACAAACATTTCAAAATAAAAGCCTGAAAATGTATTTATTTAAAGGTCTATTTTTGTTCTTTTTACGCCTTTATTGTAGAGACGGGACAGTAGATAGAGTAAGAAATCAGGAGGAGAGAAAGAGAGCGGGAAGGACATGTGGGAAAAGAGCCACAGGTCAGATCAAACCCAGGACGCTCGCTTGGAGGATTACAGCCTCTGTACATAGGGCGCACACTAACCACTACACTACTGGCGCCTGACAGCTTTTATTTTGAAATGCTAATTAATGAAATTTCAAACATGTAATTAGAAATGTGATTAATCGCAATACAAAAATGTAATTGTTTGACAGCCTCTGTGTAGGTCTATCATGTGGTTATGTATTTAATCATATCCTGTCTTATCCTGTTACTAGACTTTTCCCAGATACACATTTTAATATCTCTACCTCTTTGTCTGTCTTTGCCACTTTGGCCTCGCTGTCGTATCTGTCCTCATCGATCTTGTCGATGGCCTGGTGCAGCTTCTTGCACATTTCCTAAACAAAGAGATAAAACAACAAAAACAAAATCAGCTCCATTGCTCTTCCCCTCTTCAGGCCTGGAAAAGGTTGGTTTTGTTTGTTTAACTGGTTTCATTTACGATCAGAGCTGCCTGGTCCTGGCTCAGGTCGGGGGTGGGGCAGTTCTCCGCCATGTAAGCTTCTTTGGCAGCGGTGATGTCCTTAGTTTCCTGCTCAATCCAGCTAGCAGCAATCTGCAGCATCAAACTCTGCGGAACGAGGAATCACAGACTCTGAATAATCTTGGTTTTCTACGACATTTTATTTTAACAGCGTCGTCCTGTGATGACGAGTACATTAAGGTTGTTTTCTTGGAATCTCTACTTATTTATCTTGTGATAACAAAGTGTGTTTTCCCATGATAACGAGGTGATTTCTTGAGATCTTGAGAAATCCTGTGAAATTAATCATCACAGGAAAACCAGCTTTGATATCAAGAGATAAATACAGCAAGCTATGGTTTACTAGTCATCATGGAAATCAGAGTAAAATAAAACGTGTGGATGCATGTCCCCTTAGGGCTTCCATAGTGTTCTGTTTTCACATGTAAGTGATTATATTTATTGTTTTGTATTTAACATATACATTTGTTTCTTCTTACCTTGAGATGATGCCTGCGGCTCGATGTCATCTTCTTTCCCCTTTAATGAAGGAAAATGTTAATTAATAATTCAAATATCCACATGTAGATGAACACGAATAACCTCCTAATTATGTTGAATATTCATAAATATTGTTTGTCAAAGGTTCACTGACAAGCAAGCAGGGGCGTGTCCAGACTTTTTAAACTAGGGTGGCCCACCTGGAGTACTGACTTATGCAGGGGTGGCCTGACGTTTGGGCAAACACACGCATATTAATTTAATTTTTTACCTTTTCTATCCCCATTATATGTACTTATTAGTAACACAGTTAGGCAACATATAAAGCTTGATTCTTTACATACTCAAAAACAAAGATGTGCAAATTCACAATTTTAAGCACTTAGATATTTTCATGCTAACTCATGCCCTCTGTTTATCTTGGCAGGTAAGTCCATCGCTAGTTTAGACAGCGTGCACAATTATTTGCTTCAGATTTTTTTTTTTTATGGAAAGAGCACAGTAAGCAAATCATTTATTAACAACTAAAAGTACTAACAAACTAAAATGATTAACATGTAAAGAAAACGAACAGCAGACTGTTAAAAAGAGACAGAATGGATGATTTCTGTCCCGATTCTGGCAAAGCAAATGGCCAATCATTAATTTGGATTTTGAGGTGGTCAATCAGAGTTCAAGGGATTCCAATGCCCTGGCCATCCATCTGGATACGCCCCTGCCTGCAGGAAAGTAGCAGCAGGTTGGACTTCCCCCTAGGCTGCCAGCTTAGCCTCAAGTCCAACCTGCCATAACCACTTGGCCATTAGCGCACCAACTTTTGAAAATGTAAGTGTTTGCACTTTGAATTGTTCCCAATGACTCGTCAGGTTTGTGATGGTAGTAAATAAGAAATTAAATGATACTTACTCAGACATCTTGGCTTCTTTTCAGTTTCAGGCTCTGCAATAATAAAAATCTGAAACGGTTAATTCTGCAATGTTCAAAACAAATCCTGTTTCTTGGAGTAACTTTGGGGAATATGACCAAAAATCTTGACTTCTGAGTTGACAAAAATCTGAAACACACCAGTGTTTGGTGCCTTATTGAACAGAAGTACGCTTTAAATGTTTCTTAAATTAATAAAATCCAGTGTTATATGACAAAGACAATTGAAAGATTTGGCATAGTCATTGAATCGTTATACAGTTTTAAGCCTCTATGGCAGTTATATTCTGTTTTATTTATTTACTTCACACACAGGACAACAAATAAAGGCACATTAAGAAAATGTAAGAGCATGTGTGTGGGCGTGGTAGAAACCTACAATTAACTGTGAAAACCACTCACGGACGACATACAGAAGGTACAAAAGCACCAAAACTAACCAGATACCAGACTCCACGTGTAAAGTGAATTTGATTTTTACCATTTTTCAGCCCAGTGTATCACCTCATAATGTTTCAGACATGTTGTTATAGATAAAATAAAACAATATATTACATAAAAACATTACAATTTAACATCAATCGATTTAATCTGACTGTGAAACATTTCAAATAGGAGTCAAATCTCCAGCACAATATGACTTGGGGTCAGGGGGTGTAGCTTGAGTGTCCGGCAACAGCAATGGAAATGGGCGTAGATGTTAGGGGTCCTGCGTGTGGTGAACGGACAGGTCACATGCACAAGTCATGACCTTCAGATATGGATGTTAAAAACATATTGTAAATTTTAGTTTCAGTGTTTCTCAAGCTGAGGTCGGGGGCACTCTGGGGGCCAGCAGAAGGGCCCCCCTTAGGGACTCTTTTGGTAATTTCTCCATTTTAAAAATAGAAACTCCAGGATTCAGTGAACCTGTTGTTGACCCAGGACCTGATGCAGCCAGGTCAGTGCTAATCCTGGCTCAGGTTCAAAGGTCAACAGTGGCATTTATGATGATTTCCTAAGAGCAGCACCAAGGATTGAAACTAATCTCATCTGACAGGAGATGTAAGGGAAGAACAAGAATTCAAAGTATTAATTACTTCAGCTTTCTGTACCATGCTGCATTAATAATTTGACTGTTTTGATCTGCAAGTCTGCAGGTTTAAGTTTCTTTTACAAAACATTCAGAGAAATACAACTTAAAAGGTTTTAAAAAGTTGTACAACAATTTAAGTCCCCCAATTCATTTTAAGTTTTCTATACTTTTACCTTCAACTTCTCTGACTGTTAGATCCTAACATGTCAGTTTGAAAGATGCCGACGGTTTGAAACTTGATTCAAAGACTTCAACCAAATCCAGTTGCCTTTGGATCAAGCTTACAAATTGACCAAGACCTGGATGACTGAAAACCGACAAAGTCAAGATGCTGATGGTGTTTTGTAGCATCAGCAGTTACTGATGTAATCACCTGTCACCTTTAATCTGACACTGAGGCTATTTCGTACCTAAAAGTAACCTTAGACACCCGCAGTTAAATGAGACGGAAAACAAAGAGCAGGAAGATACATGAGACTTTGATACGAATGAAAAAAAGTTTTTCTTTAAGTTAAAACAAAACGTCCACAAGGAGGTAAACAAATTTACGATCCAGACTGGTTTTAAATATTTTTAAAAAGGAAAGATTATTTACTGCCTGATTAGGACATTTTAAACATGAGTTAAGTAGAAGATGAAGGACATTTAGACATTTATCGTCTAATCAGGAAGAGCATGTTCAGTCTGAAAACTTAATTTATAAGTCTGCCATTTTAGTCTCAAAAGCCTGGAAGCGCCTGGTTTATTTAGTAAGCGAGTACTTTTGGTCGTTGGTCCCTTGAGGTTGGGTAGATTGTTTTCCACGTGATACAATAATAATATAAAATCAATCAATCTTGTAAATTCTGTGAGGAAAAAATAAGTTTTGGAAATCCTTACCTTGTCCTTCATTCATTAAAGCAAAAATATTTAAACTTTTTGTTAATTTCAGAGAAAATCCTCGCTAAATAAACAAAATCTTACATTTGATCCTACGTTGATAACGTTTATTGGACTCAAGTGTGCAAAATAATCCTTTTTCTCTGTTTTTAGAAGCTTTAACAGGAGAGGTGAAGTAGAAACATGTGAGTATTGATGATGCAGCGATTTAATATTGAAATTAAAAGAAATACTTCACCAAACTCTGTGAATAATTCAACCAGTGGTAGCTCAGCTGAGTCACTGGAAAACATCAGCTTTATTTAAATATATGATCTGCAAATTTTTAAATATGTGATCTGCACTTATTTTCAAGGAATTTGATTGTTAAAAATAAACAGCTTATGATTTGGTTTCAAACTGTGCAGCCTTAATTTAAGTTTTGGCTCTGAGCATCAATCCACTTCAGCCACAACATCCAAGAAGTAAAATCAAAGTTTCTCACCTACAAAGAGACGATGAGGAGGGCGGTAGAGACTGACACAAGGACTGGGACACAGTGAGGGAGTCAAAGACTAAAAAACAAGTGAAATCTGTGGGGGTATATATGTGCTTGGACCGGGTTTAGAGGTTCCTCTTTATGGCCATGAGTAACTCGGAGACCAACCAGGCCAAAGAGCTCCTGAAATACCTTCATCCTTTAACTGCTCACCTCGTAAATTCTCCATTTGTGAAGTCTGTGGTCGGTCTGAGGTGGTCAGCAGTCCCTAGAGGGACATGGAGAAGTCTGGAAAAGAGGGGAGAAACATATAGATGAGACTAAAGGACAACAAACCTAAGAAATATTACAATCCTTAAATACCTTGTCTAGGAGTAAAACATGTTCTGAGTTAATCGTTCATTCTCTTTTTGGCTCCTCCATGTTTTAGACAGCTTTTCTGTGCTCTGATTTAAAGTTCACTCTTTTTATTACTTTTTATTTTTTGGCTAAAATTAGGATATTTTACAATGAGCATTTTGGCTAACAATATTTCCCTCGTGTTCATGTATGAAAAATTTAATTTAAAAAAAGTAGGCCTATATGTTGACGACTATGTTGCCGATACTGTACCTAAGAAGAAGCCTATATACATGGGGGCACCAGTAGCCTAGTGGTTAGGGTACGGAGGCCGTAGTCCTCCAAGCGGGCGGCCCAGGCTCAAATCTGACCTGTTACTCCTTTTCCGCACGTCATTCCCCACTTTCTCTCTCCCCATTTCTTACTTTATTCCACTGTCCTCTCTCCAAAATAAAGGCATAAAAAGCCATAAAATATACCTACATAGCCAGACGTGCAACTCCTAAAAACTATACCTACGTGTTGAAATCACGCAGACCGCAAGCCTTTGATTTGATCGCTGGGTAGCACGGTATGTTCAGTGTTTATTTTTAAGTAAAATCGCTAAAACACTATTTATCTTCTCCCAATCCAGTTTCAGTTTCCATTTACAAAAATACAAATAGAAGAGAATGAGGCGGAATTGGAAGCCTCTTCTGTCATTAAAAGTGACGGATTAGTCCAAGCAGGATATTTAGATGACAAAATGAAAATGTAACAACAGAAAACAATGATACAAAAATAGTTCCCAGAAATAAAATGAAAATAAAATGCAGGAGAAAGAATTCAGTCTTAGGGCACTTCTTCATTCCAACTTTTTTAAAGACTTAAAATAGATTTTAAGTCATTTTTAAATGCAACAAATTTCGAGTAATTTAAATAAAACAAAAAACGTAATCTAGTGATATAACAAGCATAGAAATCCTATAGTAGAGTTACGCAGACACACCAAGTGTACGCCACTACATCGTGCTCCAGTACGTCAATTCCATATCGTGATTGGTTTTTTGTCACGTTTTAGTTGGAATTATGTCACGACACCAAGTTCTGTTTAATGGGGACTTTAAAATGGAATACAAGAAAAGACACATACCTTCATAAAGGAGCTTAAAAAAGGGCGTTGCCATTTAGGACGAATTCAGACCGAAACTGAAAACACAACAGAGACAGAGACAGAAATTTAGAAAAGAAGACTTAATACAGAAATCAACAGCTTTACATCTAAACCCGGTTTGATGTGAACATTTAGCCAACTGTGGGTATCTATAATTAATAAATAATACATTTAAAAACACTAACAAAGAACATTTACAATCACAAAATCAAGATGATGTTTCTCACCTTGTGTTTGACCCAACAGTGTCCATCTCTGGATGAAGCTTAGTTTGATGTCATCCATTCTGCTCAGTCAATAATCACTTTGTTTTTGTCTGATTCTTATCAAACATTGTGATGTATTTACGTTATATTTTCGTTTTTCTCCTTATTATATATATTTGCTTTTATTTGTGACAACAATGCAGCAGCCAGTATGTCCTCCTTCTAACTTTAGATTCTGGTCCTGAATGCTCTGGATTTGTTTGGACCACAGAAGGTAGGCGGTTTTAAGGCACCCCCAACACAGCCGTTTTGGATGCCCCTTGGTTTGCCAGATATGAGACCAGTTATCAGGTCAAACCAACAGGTGTTGCAGTGATGGAAGCGGGCAAGAGAACTGGTTCAGATAGAAGTGATTGTACTCGACCTAAAAAGCCTCTGCATGTTTCTAATAAGCTCCATGAGCAGAAACGTGCTCAAACTAGGATCAATATTGGAGATGCTTTTGAAAAATGGAGAGAGGTTAGAACACAGAAAGGTTTACAGACCGATGCAGAGCTGGCTAAACACTGAAGCTTCAGTGTCCACCACATGAGCATGGACTCTAGAGAGGAGGGGGCAGGGGAAGAGACAGCTCTCTACAATGTTTAGAGTATGGACTGCAGCACCCATTTTAAACACTAGGTGTCAGAGTTACATACTGCTTCTTTAAGAAGTAAAGGGATATCTTAAACCCCCCAGTCGGAGCCTGCAGGTGGATGCTGGGGTGGTGGTGGGGCGGAGAAGAGTACAGTACTGGTGCAGATCAGAGCTGACAATGACAGAGTAGAGGGAGAGACCAGAAATCTTGCAACTTAATTGGACGGAGGTGTTGCGGGGTAATTTAGGATAATGACACATGGGATGTGTGAATATTGCTCCTTTAAGTTTTTTGTGTTTAGTGAAATTATTTTGCAGTTGACCTTCAGGGCCACCATAGCAAACTCACTCACTGAGGATGTAAATTACTCAAGAGGCAAATGTATTTGCGCTTTGTGTTCAAAAATGGTGCAGAAATCTTTGAAGAAGGACTTTAAAATATATATTAAAAGACAAAAAACAAGGTGAAAGCTAAAGCTAACAAAAAGGTATTTAAAACATCTCAGTATTTTTTGCTCGGCCTGTCAGGAATATTACAGTAATGTGCTTTTTTTTGTGACAGCTGCAGTAAACTGAGGGGTGCAACAGGAAGTCCTCTGCTGACACCGTGTGGTCAGTTTAGGTAACAACATCTCTACATCCTCACCTCCCACACAAACATAAACATGTTTATGACACGTTATAATGTCGTTTTAAGCAGTTAAAAGCACCTTTTAAAAATATTAAAATAACTATAACTCCTCTGTTACTGTATAAATATATTATTACTAACGATGTAGGAAAACAAAGATATAATGACAAAACATTTTTTAGAAGAAGTTAAATGTTGACAAATACTGTACATTATTCACGCTTTAGAGTTAACTTCTTTCTTTTTATGTATTAAGGACATTTAAAATGACATATTTCACAAATATTGTTTGTATGCAGATCAGAAAAGCAGTGATTGAGTTAAAAACTGAAAATATAAACTTTTGAAAAATGTCTTGATTGTCCTGTATAGTTCACTCCTTTGTGTTTCAGTTTAATAAACCTCCTAATTCATTTTTATTTGTCTTTTCTATTCTGTTTCTGTTTTTATTTTGGTCTACCTATGTGCAACTTGTCGTGCTGCTGCAGCGCCCGACTTTCCCCTTTTGGGGATAGACAAAGTCTGATCTTATATTAAACGCCTGATAAGAGGATAACGGGCTCGATCATTCAAAAAGCAACCAGGCTGGATTAAAGCTATTCGATCAAATCTTTAAATAAAGGATTATATAATCACAAAAGATCAGGTAATCCAATGTTGATATTTATCAGGACAAAACCGACAGTTTGGGTTGTTTGACACTTGACAGTATGTTTTACTTTAATCCCCCCACAAAATAATCTGGATTTTGCTGATCCCAGACTGGATTTGTGATGTGGTATGGCATATTAAAGGTGCACCATGTAGATCTATTCTATATATTATGAACTGAATACACAAACTTTATTCAAAGGAAAAATGGGTCCCTGGACGCTGTTTGGAGCTAAAAGGCTACCAGGAGAGTTACGGTTACAGCGACCACATTTTCCTCTGAGGACAGTTTGTGTGTAGAGTTCTGAACATATCCCACAGAATCTGTACACTTCTCCAACTTTCACATTTCTCTACCAAACCTCCATAGTGCTCCTTTAATGGTCAAACTATAAGACATTTATGTGAGGTAGTTGATATTTTAAAGGCACAGAATGTAAATTACACCACCAGGGGGCTCTCAATCAAAATAATAACAAAAGATGACATTGAGGCTGCCGGGGAATCATTGGAGTTCTCTCTGCTACCACCCTCCCCTGATGAAAATTAACCCTGAGATTAACATAGCCAAGAAGACCGGGTGAAACCGACCTGAGGAAGAGAATATGTTTACAGATGAGCTAATGTATCCGAGTATAATTTATATGACGTTTTTATCACAAACAGCAACAGAACAGCAGCTTTCAGGAGCAGCTCACGCTTCCATATGAGGCGTCGTGTCTGTCATGGCGGCCGCTGCGACAAGACACGTCCCGTTACAACTATGAGATGAAGGATTTCTCTGGTTTTGATAACTGTTGGAAATATTTGAGGTAATGTAAGTACTCAAAAATAAAATATTTTTAAGAGGTTTAGTCAAGTTTTAATTAATTTAGATATTTTAATGTAAACATTCTAATAACAATTCTACATATTATACCTTTAAGACATGATTTAGATATATTTAGCTGTATCATTCTGTTTTGCTTAACTGACAAAGTAGAAGAGGTAAATATTAGTGTTTTAAAACAAAAAAAGGTCACCAAAAAGCCTCATTAGCGAACATTAAATATCTGACTTTAAAGCAGCTGTGAGGATCGTTCAGTTTGTGTGGATTTTGGCGCCCCCCTGTAGACAAAGTATGTAGCGTGAAGCCCCCTTTGACGCTCTGGTAAAATGGATTGGATGATCTTTAAAAGTCTGGACCTGGATCAGGGTGATCCAATCCAGATTTACTTTGAAAAACATGGGAAAAAAGGTGAGCTGGTTACATGATCCTTGGTAGGATTAAACCTTTACATCTGAGCCCGGAGGATGATTTTCTATTTACAGTAAAAAAGGTTGAAGGTTTTCTGAGATTTGAACTGAAATTCAAAATATTTATTCCAAATTGTATCACTGATTATTTAAGTGCCATGTATCTGTTTTAACTGATTCTACACTCAAGCTTTAACTTAAGAACATCAGAGTTTGAGTTCTTAAAATGATCTTTAACATGAGTAAAAAAGAAGGAGTTTGTGTTGGTTTGAGTTAGTGAAAAGTACGGTAAACGTTAAAGAGTGTTGAGTTTAGAATATTTTGTTAGTTTTTGTTTGTTTTCTGGTTTAAACAAAAGAATAAAAAACAGCGTATATTTTGCGACGTTCACTTTTCCCAGCTCCCTGAACACTGAAGTGTGGATTAAAAATGTGGATATTATGTCTGTCCCCTCACTGACATGCACAGCAGCACAAAGAGCACAACACGACCTCGTTAAAGCTGGAAAACACCTTCAAACAGAACTCAGGATCAGGGGCGTGTTGACGGGGAAAGGCGGTTCAATTTAGGCCGAATTTCTCTGCAAATACTGAAGGAAACATCGGTTTTCTACAGGAAATATGAACCTCTATTGAAGTGTTTATTTTGAGTTCTGTTTGCGGGTGTTTGTCTTTAACGTTGAACAAAAACAAACAGAAGAAACAAAGGTTAAACTGTAGAGATTATTCCGGTGTGTCATGTACTCCGTCTGCAGTGTTGCGCGTCACTGAGTGAAAGACAGAATACCTCGTGATTGTAGGAAACAAAAGGTTTATTACAAAAACACGACTACGAGCAGGAAGTTGTCAAAAGTGAACATGAGAGAAACAAGGAAGCACCGCTACAGAACAAAGTCTGAAATCATTAAAGGCCCTGACACACCGAGCAGACGGCAAGGAACTAGTGGCTACAAAGGCCTCAGGACGCCTTTTGTCTTGGCCAAAAAGTTGCACTTGAACACATCATAAAGACGACAGCCGATGGCCAACCACCACGTACATTCTGCTCATGAGTGAGAGGAAATAACTCTCCATGCCAGCAGGCGGCGGTAGTCTGTAATCATTATTCAAAAAGAGGAAAGCTGACGAGAACGAGGACAATGGAAGAACGGGGATAAATAAACTGTTATGATACAAGAAGATACCATTTTCACACCGCTGTCGCTCACCACTCGTAATATCGGAACTTCTAGTCGAGAATAATGTCTGATAAAAAGTTGAAGTTGTTCATTTGCTTTCATCACTTCTGTTTGTCTTTTTGTCATCGACTCCACATGTTGAATTGGCCGAGAAATGGCCGGCGGGCAGCGATGGAGCTGGACACTTTGCAAAAACTAGGGCGACGACCGCTCACCCGACGGCCGTCGATCTCCTTGGTGTGTTGGGGCCTTCGGAGAGCTTTGAATCTACGGGGGGGATTTCTCATCTAAATCACTGCTTTAACACATTTACAATGACAGGTTGAGCTGAAACTGACAGATTTAATGAAACAAAAGTTCTGTTTTTCAATGCAAAAAATCCAGAAATTCCATAAAAAGCGCAGCTCAAAGCGATTACAAGAGCGAAGTGGTTTTCCTTAAGACGTCTCGAACATCTTCTTCCTGTCAGCTTTGTCCTCAATGTTCTTACGCCAGTCACCCACCGCCTCAGCCGGCTGAAAAACAAAACAAAACAAAACAAACACGGTCAAAAGCATTTTGATCTGCTTCCGCTCTCCTTAACCATGTGACTCTGCTTCTGTTAACACTCACCTCCTCTTTGACCTCCTTCTTGACCTGCTTCAGGTTGGCCCTCAGGTCCATGTTGACCGTATGTTTGGAGCCCAGCAGCGCCTTCAGCATGGCGTCAGCAGACATACGCACTTTCTTCAGGGCGGGTTTCTTTACGCCAGCCAGGTCGACCACCTTGATCTTCAGGTCTTCAATCTGAAGAGCGATCGAGATGTTAAAGGGTGAAACTGGTCTACAAAAAGTCCCATACTGGCCTAAAAAGAATACGTATTTTCCTCACATTCAGGGTCTCGACTTTAAAATGCAAATATCGGCCTATGCGTACAATAACAGACAGAGCTGCTTTTCTGTACAGCAAGGGTACAGTTCCTGACCAATTTTAAGATCCTGGTTATGCATGACCGTTTTTTTCTACTCTCATTGTATTAAGTTAACAAAAACATTCAGGCTGAATCCAAAACCAATCAGGGTTGGTTGGCATGTAATTACCCAATCACTGAAATGATAAAGTGACCTTACTATATGATCAGACATTAAGGAAACATGCTATGTTGAAGTGCTGGCTTCTCTGACAACAATGCAGCAGCCAGTATGTTCTCCTTCTAACTTTAGATTCTGGTCCTGAATGCTCTGGATTTGTTTGGACCAGAGAAGGTAGGCGGTTTTAAGGCAACCCCCACACTGCCTTTTTGGAGGCCCCTCAGTTTGCCAGATATGAGAGCAGTTATCAGGTAAAAACCAACAGGTGTTGCAGCGATGGAAGTGGGCAAGAGAACTGGTTCAGATAGAAGTGATTGTACCCGACCTAAAAAGCCTCTGCATGTTTCTAATAAGCTCCACGAGCAGAAACGTGCTCAAACTAGGATCAATATTGGAGATGCTTTTGAAAAATGGAGAGAGGTTAGAATGCAGAAAGGTTTACAGACCGATGCAGAGCTGGCTAAACACTGACGCTTCAGTGTCCACCACATGGCAACCTGCGTCCACTCTAGCAAGTAACATAACATTAAAAAGATTCTATGTTAAGTCTGAATAAATGTAACTTTGTGGCAGCCTTTGTTTACTTAATTGAAAATACTTTTGTGTTGGAAATCTGGATGGCTGACCAGCAGGGGGAGTTTTACCTCTTTATCAGCTTTGCCCACTTTGGCCTCCATGTCGTACCTCTCTTCATCCACTTTGTCGAGGAGGGCGTGCAGCTTTTTGCAAGTTTCCTAAAGACACAGACAGATGTGATGTAACTGATACCACCATTTACCTCGATGACATAACACTTAAAGCAATTACAAAAAACTTACAAAATATACAAATTAGTTTCTGTGAAAGGCCTATTAGACTCACTTTACGAAGGTATGTGAGAGTCAAAAGACCTTCATGAACCTCAACCAGATCTTGTGGCTTTTACATTAAACTGAGAATTACAATGACGTGGATGACCCTGAACCCCTCACAGATCTTGTATAAGTTAAGTTATAAACAATGCCAAATCTCACTCACAGGGTCTCAAAAAAGACTCATTTTTTAAGCACATTTCTCGTAACATCATCAGCATAAAAGGAAATACAGGTTATTAATGTCTGTCAGGACCTAAAGACAATTTCAACCCAAATATTAAAAAGTGTATCTGGAGAAAATGAACAACCCTGCTTTTGAGGTTATTAACTGAAGTTTAGGTAAATTCACGTCAAGTGTAAATGCATCTCCGCTTCCGGCGCTGTGTGAGGTGGCCGCCGGAATAATATTATTATAATATTATATTGTGTTTAGATTGCTAACATTGTGTTTTTGTTACTCATATTGTGTGTTGGATAACCTGCTTCCGTAACGCCACAATTTCCCAGTTTGGGATCAATAAAGTAATTCTATTCTATTCTATTCTATTACACACGCCACCAAGTGATGGGAAACTGAAGAAGGAGGTATGAATGGTTTCCTCTCAATGTCTCACCATGAGGGAAGCCTGATCTCCGCTCAGGGAGGGTTTGGGACAGTTCTCAGCCATGTAGGCCTCTTTGGCGACTACGAGGTCCTTTTTCTCCTGCTGAATCCAGTTGGCCGCGATCGACAGCATCAAACTCTGTAGGACGGATCCAATCAGAAGTCAGTAAAAAAAGGAACACCCTCTGATCTGCTTCTGTCTTATTTCTTTTGTTTATCAGGATTTCCAGGCAAATTGATATGCAAAATTGATATGCGATGTGATTTTTTCACACTTCAGTTTACTTCGCACGCGAAGACTTTAAAAACTTGGTCTCAAGAAAATGACTTATCACAGAAAAAAACAGCATTGTTACCTCAAAATAATGACATAGACAAGTTGAGATTTTGAGAAAACATCCAAAGTTCACTCTTTATCACAAAAAATAAGGATTAGAATAAAATGTATGAATGCATGTCCTTTTAGGGCCTCCGTAGAAAGGTACGCCAAAGATTTAACTTTATTATTCTAGCGCCAGATTTCTCCAAAATGGCAGTTAAAAAAAACAAGAGAGACCTACAGAGCATCAAATCCTAAAATATAAAGGATAAAATGGAGAGACACAGTGACTCATAGGATTACAGAAAAAAAGTTGGATAAGTACAAAAACAAGATAAAATGAAATGTTCTAAGGTTTCATGTTGATCTGGCAACAACTTTCCAATCATTAGTTTATGTGTTCCAGATCTAATAGTCCTCTCACATGATGCAGGTATAATTCATTTATTAATCAAATAGCAGCTTTAATTGTTTTTGCATGATCATCAACATTCATCACTTTTTTAAGCTAAGACTAAAAAAAGACTGAAAACACTCTCTCGTACCTTCAGATGATGCCTGCGGCTTGAATTCATCTTCTTGCTGTAAAGATCAGAAAGAAAAACATTTTTAAGAGTCTGAACGTCAAAGTGCCTTAAACCTGCATTCTCTCCAGTGGACAGCAGGGGGCGACTACACTGGATTGATCTGAAGTCTATGAGATAATGAGTCCGTGTCTTTGTTTGAATCTTAGTTTATGGTCTCAATCTCTAGTTTCAAGTCGTCGTCAGTACAGCGTGATGTTCAACTATTGGGTCCATTTAGAGTAAATCAATAATAAAACAAGGTCGACCTATTAAACCTTTTAAAGCATGGCTAACTCTGATAAACATTGGCTCAACTGCAGCCTAAAAACTTTCATATAGATCAATTTGGAGTAGACGCCATGATTACATTTGCTGGGTTAACGTTTTGGACGCACTGAGTCCTCTTGACTCCGAGGAAGAAGCAGTGCGTCAAAACTTCAGTCCTTTGCACCTTAAAAAATTTGCTGCAAGTGACTTGTGTGCTCCAGGACTTTCTGCCTTTGTGAAGTAGTCCTTTGAAATATTTTGATGTATTAGGTCTGTCTCTGAGAGCACCGACCTCCGTCTGATGAGGGGCTGAAGCGCAAGAGTTTCCTTCAATTGTACCTTCCAAAACGTTTCCAACATATTCCTTTAATTTAGGCAGTGTGCAGGAATTTGTCTGCAATTTTTGATAACTGAAAACACAATATTACTCAGTATTGGGTGCCTTAAACTTCTAATTTTGTGCAGTGGTATCAAAATAGGTGAAGATGCCGTTTGTTTTTTACTTATCAAAGTTTAAAATTCTGTTTTTTGTGACAACCCTCCTGGCAAATAATTAAAACACCCAATTTGTTATAGCTATGCATGCCTGTTTATGACTTCCAGAAGTAAAACTTAATAAAGCAGAATCAGCACTTACTCAGACATGTTGCCGGTTTCTTTTCTTCACAGCCTGTTTGCAGAAAAAAAAAAAACAGAAGAGAAAGCCGTTGAGTGAGGAGAGAGAGAATAAACGATGCCATCATCTGCTGTGAGCTTAAATATCCGAAATCCTCTGCATGAAATGTGAGATATTAAACAGTCGACGAGCAGCTGAGTGGTGACAGAGCTAAGTTTGGAGTTTCAGTGAGGTCAAATGTTGCCTCTGACGCCTGCGATAAGCTCCTTTACAGGTGTTCAAAACTGAATCTCCTCTGGGAGTTTACAGTTCAATTCCTTTCATGGGGGGGGGGGACCCTCCAGGAGATTGTGCTGCCGCAGCGCGTTATCCGCCAACACGCCCGGCTGTCAGAACACACACACAAACACACACACACACACACACACAGAGCCAAACAAATCAGTCAGTGCTGCACTCAGATTTCAAGTTATTTTACACTATAAATAAATAAGGTTTTAGTTTTCCCTCTCATTAAGTCGGAATTTTGTAACCAAACACGGACGAGCAAAAAAATCTCACCACACAGGCGGACTCCAACGCTGATCATCAACAACAACAAAACATTTTTACAGTGTAAAAACTTAACCCTAACCCAAAATTTATCTCAGCTTTCAAGACTTAATAACCAGAAGTGCCCAAGTGCTCTAATCGATTTCAACACTTCAAAACTTGACTTTACTAAATGACAACCCACTGTAAAGACGAGCCCAGTCAAAACTCACAGTTTACGGTGTTTTTGGAACCCCCACCCCGACCCAAACCAACAACCTTATGTTGCGATATGGTCCAGGTGTGGTGAACAAATTTCAAAACCTCTTAATGTGAATGACAAAGCATTGTAAAAACAAATCTTGGTCAAAATAAGTAAGCACCTTTTAAGTGTTTTTACGTTTCTTTTTTTTGACTAGATGTTACAAAATGTCCAGGTGTGTTGATGAATATCAAAACTTGCAAGGTTTTTGCTGTAATGTCTTGAAAGGATAATGCACTGTAAAAACAATATCGGTCAAAAAAAGTAATCAAAGGGCTTATTTTGCTCCAAAAACCAAACCACAGACAAATAGAAGTCATGGGATTAAACTGGATTCAAATATAATGCATTTAAAAGACAATGCACTGTAAAACATACTTCCAGGTGTGGTGGTCAAATTTCTGATTTTTTTTTTAGTAGATCATCAGTCCTTTGTTGAATCCCAACAAGTCTATTTGAAGCTTCATGCAATGGCAACTGGACTTGGTAGCAGATCTTGACACAGATCTTTCAAGATCTTCAGCCAAGTCCAGTTGCCTTTGGCTCAAGCTTCGAATTACCCATAACCCGGACGACTGAGCACCAACACAGACATCCCAGCAAGTGGTTTTTGATACTTCAATAAAATTAGATAATTGGTGTTTTCCAAACTAAACTTCCAAATAAATCCAGATTGAGCATAAAAAGTCAATTTCTTTGAATTTGCAAACCAACCAAGAGCGTTGAAAATCAAAGATTAACAATAAATAAGGAAGTAACTTTCTATGGAAATTTTCAAACAGAATATGTTTTCTGCTGATCGACAAAACAGATTGGCTTCAATGAAATGAACCTAGCTTGGACACTGGCATTAGATTCTAGAAAATCCCTTACATGGGAGATGACACTCAACTAAAACCAGGGATTAATATCTGGATAAAGATAAAGACTTACGTTTACAGGAATCAATCTTTTTACTTACAATAAAAATGGATAAAACGTCAATTTGAAAACTTCAAAAGCATCTCTCATCCCAAGCTCCATCCAAACACAACCTTCATCCTGCAGCGTTCAGCCTTCTCCTTCACCCTGGATCACATTTCCATCCACTTATCATCAAACCCCAGAGGTCAGGACTTTAATCACGTTAGCACTGTACCAACAGGTCCCCCCAAAAAAGACTCTTAACAAAGTCAACTCAGCTGCTCTGTGTCCATTAGAACCAGCTCTGTGCCGGCATGCAGGGAGGACGAGGGGGAGGAGGAGGAGGAAAGAGAAACTAGTCTCACCTACGACGAAATGGAGAGCCGAGAAGGAGGACACAGGGGCCAGGAGCAGTGTGAAGAAGTCCTCCCCGGGGTGTTTATATACGTGGGGGCTCAGATATGGATATGGAGCTCCTGTTTATGGAATCCAGGATCCTCAGACCAATCACCCAGCAAGCGCCTGAAATATCATCATCCCCTGCCAGCTTCTTCCTGTTAATCAGGTCCGCTGAGGAGGAGCCTGATATCTTTTTAGGAGTCCGCTCAGTGCCACCGAGGAGCTATAAAAAGGTGGAAAAGGACTATAAAACCATCACAGTCCAAACGTTTCACCAGATGAAAACCAGAAGGGGGGAGGGGGTTGATGAAAACAGTGGGACAGTCGAGTCAGTTCAGTGTTCCTTTTCTGACTCTCTCTGTGTGTTAATATCTGGAGGTGCTGGAAATCCTGAACATTTCAGGCTTCCAATAATGTTTTCCAGAAATATATTTACAAGAGATCTGATCATTTTCTGTTGCAACGCCAATTCAAATGCTTGAATGGGCACCAGGAATCATATTTGGAGCCCTAAGGTCGTTTAAAACCAAATAAAATTATACTTTGTAGTCATTTCCCTCACGTGACATGCAAAAGAAAAGAGCAATTTAGGTCCTTATCCAAATATACTTTGGTTCCCCTTGTCAAACTTTGATTAAAAGTTTGGATAAGAGCCCTTAAAAACGATGCAAACTTTTCAAATAACCCACCAGGTTGATGCCGGCTCCAGCTTAACATCCATTTTAAGAATCTTTTCCACCATATTTCTACATCAGTGAGCTTTTTCTCGTTTGAAAAAATGTTATCAGTTTAAAAAGGAAAACATGATCATCTTAATAAAACTTGTGAGACTTGGGAGTTATGTAATCTAGAGAGCCCCTAAAAACGTTCAGCTGTTTATGATCAACCACCAATAAGAAACCAGAATAAACTTGCATCACTTTTGCTAATAATCTGCATGTCATTGCATCTTTGGCTTTTCCTGTCGCTCCTTTAGAGATTTATCATCATATATTTCAGTAGCTGCAGGTATCCTCATAAATACGTTACATTTGAAGTTGGCAAGAACTCCAAGAATCTCCCAACTGTCACCCCCGCTTGCAGCTTTCAGTCTGGATAGTTTTCCAGAGAGGAAATAACCAAAAGCTGCACAACCTGGCTAAAGCATGGCGAGCATGCTTCAGGAGAGCGAAAACATAAAAACGTATAATCCAAAATGCTAAAATTCTTTGACATCTATAAATACCCAATAAATGGAAAACATTTACAAACTTCCTTAGCTTTTAAGGGTATTTCAGATAGGACACAGTGGGCGCTGTATGCCGCTGTCAACCCCATTCATTGTGTATTGCATTGCTCCTGTCTCCTAACCGCAGAGTTGAGCGCAGTGCAGTGTCCCGCTTGCAGTACTTGCGCAATGCGCGACAGTCAAACATTTTCTATTTGACTGCAGCGCTCCCTGACGTCACCTCTGCACGTCCAATAGGAGGGTAGCTCAGATCACAACAAGTTCTAGCTCTGGTTTAAGACCTATCGGGATATTGGCAAGAAAAGATCTTAATATGAAAGATATTTCCAACAGTTTGGGCGTACAGGTGTGTTTAAAACAGAGCAGTGATGTGCGTCATGCTTGTAAAGCAGTCGTTTTAGCTCTGCAGCTCCTGGACGAGACTAAACTCTTCCACATCCTGACGTGCCCTGAGGATTTCATTAACACACCCCCTCTTTTCCTTAGCTGCTCGTTTCCCCCTCCGCAGCAGATAGTGGACACATATGCCGACATAGCGTCCCAACCTGTTGCAAAGAGGAAGGTTCTAGCTAATGTGGGTTTTTACTTCAGATTACTCGAGCCAAACTGTTTTCTTAATTCTACAAAAAGGTCATTATTGATAACTTGATAACACACATCATACAAACACCCATTGTGGACTTTTCCCAAATGACATGTGTTTGGGTCTGATTTTGACACAGGCGAAAATCAGCGGACCTGACTTTGTTTTTGATTCTTGCTCCTCGAGCCTCAAATCCAGCGTGTCAAATAATGAGTTCAAAATCAAGAAATCACCGGTGAAAACATCCCTTATCACCACTACTCAAAATAAAGAGCCTATCGGGCTTGCATGTCGGCCATCTATAAATATCAGGCAATCCTCGGCCGGCGTGGTTAGCGTTTCATCTTGGATTGCTCATTTGAGCTGTGGATCCTTCCAGACCTTTCTGTGGCTGCAGACGCCCCTCTCGTATTAACGCGGTGCTATAAAGTATGTGGGCAGGATGTCAAGGGAGATTTTCCATGAGGATAATGTTACACCGTGTCTCGCTCATATAGCATTCTTTCTTAATCACTTCAGATTCCTCAGTGTTTAAAGATCATTATTAGAGTTTAATCATAAAGTCGTTTTTTATAACGCTCTAAAACGCTTCTAAGAAGAGTTTCTTGACCTCCCGTTCGTTTCCTCCAGTTTTGACTAAGAGTAAGGAGACAGCGGTCGTCGTGTGGCCTTTAAAATAAAGATGATGATAAATCTTTCTGGATGACTTTAACAAACACAAAGCCCTGTAAAGACATTCTGCTATTATCTTTGTTAAGTTAACTGTTTTTAACTTTGTTATGGGGCTTTATTTTCTAGTTTTATCATGTATATTATTTGAAGGAGCAGTTTGATGAGCTCTTCAGGCCTTTGCACACTGAGTCTGTTTTTTTTGGATGTGTTATTTGAATCCGTAATCCTAACAAAAAAAACTGACTGTCTGATGCGTTTATTTGACTACTCATCATGAAGAGTGATCAAGCAGTGAAGAAGATTTAATGGTTCTTTCTATAAATTTGAAAAAACGGTGTCTTTAAGTTCCTGAGAACAAACAAGAGCGAGAAAAGTTTCACCAGTTTGATATATAAGTCTATTCTGGAGCCACACATTCAAAAGAACAACACCCATTTCTGTGAAGCAACTGAACAGCTGCTGACAATTTTAGGTCAGGACACTCCACACACACACAGGGCTGGATGCAAAAAAAAACAGAGACTGTAAATATGAATGTTTGAAGCCTGAGTGATGTCATCCAACTGTTCCTGCAGCGGGCGCTGGAGGCTCATCGGCAGCAGCTGCCATGTTGGAAATGCTGTCTTAGCCTCACTTTCAGTCAACCTAACGACAGGCTGAGAGCTGGAGCTGAGGCGGGTTTTACGCCTCCTAACAAACCGTGTCAATCATGTCAGCTACACGCCTAACTATGGATAAGACGTATCGTTTATGAAATTAAAATGGAGCCATTTAAAATAAAATCATCCTGGTACAGTGTATGCTAGTGATGACAATAACTAATCAGATCTATTTTGTTTTTTGCACCAGGTTGTAAACATGTTTATTTATACTGGAATAACTCCTTTTTGGCTGTTGTGTGTATGTGACTTCCTGTGCTTCTGCAGCCAGCCTCTAGTGGACACTCGAGGAACTGCATGATTTTGCACTTCTGCATTGGCTTCATTTTTCAACACCGGAGGTTGCTGCTTGGAAAAAACACAGAAAATCGAAGCCCTGTTCCAAAAAACATAATGAAGGACGAATGTTTCAGAATCAGTGTGGGTGGGGAATGTTAGACTAAGTTACCTTTTGCTATGTTTGCATTTCACAACACCTACACACAGACGTACTCCACTCATGCACATCACACACTACTGACTTTAATGACTTCCACACATCATATTGTAAATATTTGATTTGGTATGGTTTAATAAAGAATTATTTGGTTTTGTCTCCCATTTTTGTTGTGACTTCCTGAGCCGGGTCACGACAGCTTTAAAAAAGATTTCAACTGGTAAGACACTTTGTGATTGTGTTTATTTATTTTTCTAATTGTCCTCCAAATGATGACTTTATAAATCCCTCTCTCTTCTGGACACTGTCTCCTGACAACACAGGAAGGTAATGTGCCTTCCCAGAATGCCATAGGCCCAGCAGATCACCTGCCTGTAACCTGTGTAACGGTATTGCCTAGGGATAGGGACAAAATATTTACAATTAAACTTGATAGTCCTATTATGTACACGATTGAAAATGTATTAACAAAGGAAATAGATATGGGAATGCCGTGTTTAATTAAGTTAATTAATTAATTAAGTATCGGAAAATCAGTCTGAGTTGTAGTATGGGGGGTGACATGTAGCTCAGTCTGTAGGGACTTGTGTTGGGAATCGGAGGGTCGCTGGTTCAAGTCCCAGTGCGGACCAAATATGGAAGTTGGTCTGGTAGCTGGAGAGGTGCCAGATCACCTCCTGAGCACTGCAGAGGTGCCCTTGAGCAAGGCACCAAACCCCCTCCCCACCACCAGCTCAGGAGCGCCCGCTGTGGGCCGCTCCGTCACTCTGACATCTCTCCATTAGTGCATGTCCATAGGATCCTGTTTGTGCATGTGTGTGTATATTTCAGCCTATGTATGTGTTACATGACTAAGAGTGTATAAACTGAAATTTCCCCTTGCGGGGATCAATAAAAGACATCTTAGTAATGTCTTTAACTTGTATCTACATGCTTTGAGCAATAAAAGCTAATTTACACAGTAAAAAGTCAGCAGAATTGTAGCTTGTTTCTGCCCCACACATTCTCATACCTACTGGCCTGAAGGGGACCATGCTCCTGCCTGAAGGTCATGTATGCTATCTGCAGGACAAAGGGATTCAGACAGCAAGCCTCAAAACCTGGGTGCTGTGTCAGGTATGTTATGTCTGGTCTGGGGGTAAGGTTCTCCACCAACGCCCAGAAGGCATCCGCCTCCCTGCAGCACAGACTCTCCACAGCTGAAGACATGAGATGACATTTCCAGCACAAGCACCTATCAAACATAAGTTACAGGAAACTGTTATCCCTCTCCCTCTCAGTCTTTTAAAAGCGCGTTGTTCAAAAGCGCATGGCACACAGCGATTTGGGGCATGTCCGACTATATTTTGGAATTTACGCGGCGCACCATCTGGGCGCAGAGCAGATGGAGTATGTGGCTTTATTATAGGATACATAGTGTGTTTTGAGTGTGCATTTAACAAATCAGAGTGTCAGCTCTCATTCC